TACCGTTACATCCCTAGACTTTAGTCTTTGCAACTTTACAGATCTTCTTTCCGCACCAAGAGCTTGTAACACTCCAAAGAGAAAGGAAAAATTTAAAATCGCATCATATGACCCCTTTAAATTACATTTTAAAACGTACTTTATTCCTGTAATCGCAAAGTTGAATTTTCAGCAGCCATTACTCCAGTCTTCAGTGTCACATGATCTTTCAGAAATCATTTTAATATTATGATTTGGTGCTCAAGAAACATTTATTATCATCAATGTTGAAAACAGTTGTGCTATTTAATATTTTTGTGGAAACCGTGACTATTTTTTTTTTTCTTTTGGAACATTATACATGTTATTTTGATCAGCTTAATGCATCCTTGCTGACTAAAAGTAATAATTTAAAAAAATGTATAAAATAAAAAATATCATGCTGACCCCCAAGCTTTTGAACAGTAGTGTATGAGAATAACTCAAGGCGATGTAAATGGCAAGTTTGCTCCATTCTTTTACCTGGTAGTTTTGTGAGGTAACAGGAGGTGGTGGTGGGGGTATCTCCGGCTGTCTCTGTGCATACCCGTAATCCGTGGCAGCGTGGGCTGGCTGGTATCCTCCATAAGCGCCGGCAGTAGCCGCTGCTGCTACGGCGACTGGCGCAGGCCTAGCAACAGCAACCGTGGCGGCTGTAGGGGCGTAGGCTGCAGCCACCGTGTGTGCCGCCACAGGTGCCTGATGCACAGTATAGCTGGCCACTGTAGTGGGGTGGGTGTACGCTACCCCAGCGGCCGGCTGCTGACTGCAGAAGAGAGGACGAGAGGCTTAGATGACAACACTGACAGCTACCCTTGCTCATTAAAAAAAAAAAAAAAAAAAAAAAAAAAACCCACCAAAAACACCACCAAAAAATACTAAAAATTACTCAAATAGACATCACACAGCAGCTGATTTCGATTTTCGATTTAGTTTTAGTAATTTTGTTTAGTGCTTTTCTCATTTTTATTAGCTTTTATTATTATTTATTATTATTATTATTATTATAGGTTTAGTTTTAGTAATTTTAGTACTTAAACGAATTTTATTTCAGTTATTTGCCAAGGCAATATTTCTAATTTATGTCGAAGCTTTAGTATTTATTCTTTATTTCAATTTGTGAAAATGATTTTTAATAGTTTTAGTTAACAATCACACACACACACACACACACACACACACAGGACCCCCACAAAGGCAAATAGCCTAGGTTAGCAAAAATTGTGAAATAACATACAAATTCTAATCTAAAACCTAAAAAGAAAAAAAAAGGTGCCATCATGCATCATCACAAACAATACTGCTAAATTGCTCATTTTTATACGCAGAGAATTTCTGGTGTAATTTGACTAAACTGAAAGAGGACAATTCTGTAGATGATGTATTGAACCGTAATGACCTTCAATGTAATTTAAAGATGTTCATGTTAACATCTAACTCACGCCATAACAGATTATCTTGGAGATAAAATCATAATAGTCTTTCCCGATTGCTGGACTTAATGCACCAAATCCATTGGCTTGACAGGGAAGATACATGTAGAGGAAGAAAATCTAATCAGTTACGGATTAAATTATTTAGTACAGCATTTTCTTGATAAGAGGCAGACAAAACGTCATCGTCCATTGGTTTGAAAGCATCAACTATCTTGAGCTGCAACCAACCAACACAAACCACACCAATGGCATCTATCTCACATCCATCTAAAAGCTGCACTTTCAGAAACTGGGCCAACATCTGTCTAGCGGAGATAAATTAATCAACAACTTCAGTCTACTACTACTATCCAGCCATGTAAACACTTCCAAACTGTCAAGCCATCAATCTCAATGTAATGCTGACAACCTGCCAGGAATAGCAAAACTAAACTGATGGAAAACTGCTCAGAATATGATCCAGTTTAGAGAAACGTCACATCACGTCTATTTTAACAAATAGAGGCACGTTCTTTCACTACATGGCCAAAAGCCAAAACGCCTAAATAAGAACATTAGGATTACTTTAAAAGCAACTTAACTGAAGAACGTCAACCTAGACCACAAAAACCCTTTAAAAAGCGGATCAGTAGTGACATTCAAGAAGTCCTTGAAAGCGTCCGTGAAGAAAGACATCGCCCTTCCCCACACACACACATACAATTTGTCAATTATTCCTCTAAAATTTAAATCTGTGATATTAAACGAACGGAAGTGTCAAAATGACTTTTTAAACAGTGTTGGGCGACCATGTACAATTTTTGTTTTGTTTTTGTTTGCGTTTCCGTCTTAAAACACTTGTAAAAGGAGATCGTTGAGCAGGACGCGCATGCGCAGAGCCGCTCTAGTGCAGAACTAGAGAGTGATGACAGCTGCAGTCTGCTCGCTTTACTCTGGCCGCACTGGCTACATTCACAGTTTATCCAAACACGTCAATACCACAATGAGTTCACAACAGTGTTAATATCTAAAAAAAAACGTGTCGTGTTGCAGATAAAAACCGATAAACCCAAAAAGATAAGCGTCGTGTCTGTTTACGAGGCAACCCGATCTGATATTAACGTAAACAGTATTAAACCTAGGCCTAGTTACACACCAAAATGTTAAATGTAAAACTTACAGATATTAAAGCACCTACCGTATTTATTTTCAACTATGATCACACGGGTTTAAACGGTGCATCGCGCTTGGTCACCACGCCGGATGTTTATACAAATAGAAATTGATTCAAACTGTATAGATTTATAATAACCTCTTATTTGTAGTTTATCCAATGATTACAATTTTTTCGTAAGCTGCCCGCCCAAAACACTAGTAAAAACTCATGTCAATATCTCCCCCTAGCAAAATAAAATACAGATACATTAACACAACGCATTACTCAC